GGGGGTTTATTCGACTAACAGGCGGGTAACGGAGGCGGTACATCGAACATGACATTACATCACAATGACAAATCTAGGGTACACTGACTGAGACTAGGACTAAATACATGAGACTAGGCAAACGTAACAGGCAACAGGTGAGATACATCAGGTGTCGACAGGAGGTAATGAGGGTGCATGGCACACACACGAGGAGCGTTCGGAGCTGAACGTGACACACTACAACTACCAAAACACTTTATTCAGGTCTCAAATAAACTCATTCTTCCAGAACACTAGCAAAGGTTGACAGCCGACAAACACACTTTGTCACCCACAAAACAATGACCTAAAAAACACTAACAACATGTAGCATTACACAGTGTTTTCTTGTGTAAAACAAGGACACATCTCTGTTTATAATTGCAATATATGTTACTGGAATTAATTAGACATGATGCAGAATTCGTCAATATTTGTTTATTTATTTTTATTTTAAGTAATTCCAAAATACAAGAATTTGTATACACACCATCCACTGATACAGATACAATAGTAATGCTAATCTACTCGGTCTTCTCCATTTGGCCACAGGTTCTCATCCACATCACATCTTATGTCATCTAGGGCAATACACCTAGGAAAGAATCTTCTGGCATGCCTGATCCATCCCTGGCAATCTTCTGCTGATATGTCCAGGCATCCAGCATTCATTGCATCCAAGAGGGACATTTGATCATGTGGATGATGGTCGTAAACCTTCCACCGCCATGAGGAAAAGAATTCCTCTATGGGGTTGAGGAATGGAGAGTAAGGTGGGAGGAAAAGTGACTCCATTCTGGGATGGGCCGCAAACCAGTCGGTGACTGCACGGGAGTGGTGAAATGCCACATTGTCCCATACAATTATAAATGTTGGCTGATTCCTTCTCTCCGCATCCCTTTCCTCACCTAGCACAACCCATCCATAGAGATCATACAGGAACGCAAGGAGCCGTTCAGTGTTGTATGGCCCAATTAGTGGTCTGTGTAACAGCAGTCCATCAGTGGATATTGCTGCGCACATTGTGATGTTGGCACCCCTCTGGCCCGGGACATTCACTGTGGCTCTCTTCCCAATCACATTCCTCCCTCGTCGCCGTGTTTTGGCCAACTTGAAACCTGCCTCATACACAAAGATGAAAATGTGGTGTGTTTGCCTGCCTTCAATCTCCATGACTCTCTAAAATAAATCCACAAGGCAACAGAAGCTGTTACAGTAGTAAATTTGTAAAAATTGTCTTTGTGTGTGTTTGGTTTTGTTCAAAAACAGTTCTGTATTTTATTGTTCCTCTCAAAAGGCACAGTGTACAACTGTTTCATCCTGACCTGATGATATTTCAGGACTCTAGAAATTGTTGTTATGCTTACACTGTGAATATTTGCAAAAGTAACGTTGTCTGCCAAGACTCTGTGTCTAATCTCAGTGAGTTTTATCCCATTGTTTCTGATGACCATATCAACAATGGCAGTTTCCTGCACATCCTTCCTCTCCCTCCTGTGTGAGGTAACCGTTGAGTCCTAAGCAGAAATGCAAAAACAATTACACAAAAGTTTATTTACTTCTGAAATGTGCAACTGAGTCAAATGCCCTTGCAGAATACAAGTTACCTGTTGGTTTGCTGGAAAACTCTAACAATAGATGCCACTGTAGAGCATTGCAGAATTGGCTGCACTCTCTGACCAGCCTCTCTCATTGAGAGACCATGATTTACTACATGATCAATTACAGTAGCTCTGATCTCATCTGAGACTACAGCTCTTGATCTTCCTCTTATTCTTCTTCCACCACGCATACGTATTCCTCGCCCTCTCCCAGCCACTCTTCTTCCTCTTTCAGCCACTTCTCTATTTCTGGCTGGGTCCATGTTTACATCACAATACAAACCTATTCAGCAGTTGTCTCCTTTTGTAATGAAATTGAAAGAGTAACACCTGTGTAGATGTTCATCTACAATGAGAATCAGCTGTGGCTGGTTAAACTGCATTTTTAGATTTAAAATATGTTTCAATAAAATATTGCTGTTGAATTTTGCTGTCATACAGTTTTGCATTATGTTATTGTTTTGAACATAAGTTTAACAGTTTTGAAAATAGTATGTAAGCACGTGCAAAATGTCCTGTATGTACAAAGATTTTTGGCAGTTGTTGTGTCTGAGTGAGAAAAGAATTCATGAAATTTGAGAGATGTAGTCACTGAATGCATTTTGTGCCAAAACAATGATAATTGATCCTCAGTTTAGCCCACATACTGTAGACTTCTGTTGTGCTCACTTTGTGAAGAGTTTTGCAAAAGTGACCTAAGTATTGAGAAATGTGTCCTAGCGTCTGTAAAAAACTGTAAATCTGATCATTGCATTTCCATAATTACATTGTTTGTTTCTATTGCACTGTTTCGTGTTTGTTGTTTATGTTAGGTGTAATGTCTGTCTTATGTTAGTTGTAGTGTTAGCTAGGAGTAAATGCATGGCTTTTACACAACTTCAGCCTCCGCTCATTGAGTGCTCACAATAGTCCCTGCCTCTGTACGATCTTGCTACACGCTCTGAAACCTCAAACTCGCGTGAAATATCATGAGACTCTCTCTCATCAGCCGTGAGGGGATCTTCGCTACCAATCGTTTACATTACCTGGTGATGCAGCTCGCTGGACAAGCCTTCTAACCCAGGTTACTAAGCGATACTGGTAATTAGCAAATCCCATTTAAGTCTCGCATTAACAGACTTAAGGGGATACCGCAATTGAGTTTGGAGGAGCCGACCATTCGGCATAACAATTGGTTAATAATCAGCATTAAATAATCATTAATTAAAATTTAATTAATTTCAAAAAACATAAGACATAATACATAAGAACTATATAAACGAGAGGAGGCCATTCGGCCCATCGAGCTCGCTTGGGGAGAACTTAACTAATAGCTGAGAGTTGTTAAAATCTTATCTAGCTCTGATTTAAAG